AAGGCCAGGCTGAACAGGGCCTTGAGCAACCTAGTCTAGTGGGAGGTGTCGTTGCCATTGGCAGAGGGGTTGGAATTATATGATCTTAAGTTCCTTTCCAACACTAACCATTCTATGGTCCTATACATCTGTGTGCCACCAGTGAGACAAACACTGGCCCTAATGTCTGCCATCAGACCCATGGTGCCGGAGGGGTAAGAGTCCTCAGGTGTTTTGACACGTGCCCCTGGCTTCAGAGGCGTGATGTAGCCCTGCTGCACATGCCACTTCTCCCAGCACTCACCCAAGTGTATGCTGACACTGAGCCTCTGGTTAGCAAGGCCTGGAACTAGAGGCCGTAGCAAAGTCAGGGGAATGCACACAGACCCCGCTTCCCGCCTGCTGTGAGAACAAGCGTTACGGGGCACAACTCACATAGCTTGGCTGAGTCCCAGCACGTGGAGCACTGCCAGTTGTGTTTTTTTCCCATACCCATATGTTTAATGACTTTACTAGCAGATCTTTAGTATGTTGTATCATTTTATGCTTCTTTTCAATTTTATTTTCTCTGTGTAAGTTGGCCAGGAATTATGCTAGATCTTTCGTTTTGTCCTACTTTCATGTGCATCTTGGTTCTTCTTCTCCAGAACACCTCTTTTCCTCCCAGCTCCTGGTAGGCCAATGTATTTAAAATTACTTTTCTGTATTGGCTGTATGTGGCAAACATGACTCTTCTCCATACCCATCTATCCTTTCTCCAGCTTCCTGAGAGAGCACTGGCAATATTTCTTTCCCTTCCTTTATGTTAGTTCCAGCTCTGTCTGACAGCAATCATTGCAGGGATGATGGAATTCTCACTCCCAAGCTCTCTGCACACATTCTGGAGAAGCAGATGCTCTGTAAGCATGCCTCTCTGCCTTACCGTATCCCAGGAAGGATTTAATATCTTTAACATGTATCTGGTTCACATTGAGATCACACTTATTACTACACACCGTTAAAAGTGAAGTGACAGACCTAGTTTATTTCATAAAGTTAAGCAAAGAGCACCAAAAGCAACACATAAAATCTGGGAGAATAAGCCCTAGCTCAAAGAAGTTTTTTCTTTTAAAGTGAGGAGATTGGTGCTCTCCTAGGGAACTCCTTAAGGAGATCATGGATGAAAGAAAACCAAACCAGCCTTGTTTCAACTACCTGAGAACTTAACTTTATGCCTAGCTATCAGTTCAAGAGCTCTTCCCTCCAGGCTATGCTGCTGTGTGCAGAAAGGGTGTGTGGCTCCTTGACAAGATGCTGCCCTACTGAGGGATGATTTTCCTTTGGTTTCCTCCCACTATTCATGTTATGTGCTTTGCAGAAACACACAGGGAATGCAAATAGAGAATCAAAAGGTAACCTTGAGGACTTTTATGGCTGCCCTTAGTGTTTCAAAGCCACTCTTAAGTACTCTTTTCTTTCTTTCCTGAGTTAGAGAATTTCTTGATGTTGTGACTTTGGTTTTAGCTGTTCAGCATCTCTGGAACTGCAACACTAATATTTCACAGCTCATTTGAGAAAACAGAAAATGTTTTTTTTTGAGTAAGATGCCATGCTAATGTATCAATCCCTTTCCCCTCATCTGAAGAGTCAGCTGAACCACAGCCATAAACCTATAGCACAACTTCTCTCAAAACACGTAAAATTCCCTTTGTTTTCTTGCTTACACCCTGTATGATTTGCAGTAAGAACCTTTTCATGACCTTGTAGTACCTTCCAGCTGTTATACTAGCAATGTTTACAGTGTCTCTGACAGTTTCATGATTCAAGGTATGTCAAAGCCCTTCAGAGCCTTGGACACTGGAGCTCTTCAAGATTTCAAATACCAAAGCCTGCTGGTACCAGCTGCTTCAGCATCACTCTTTCATCAACCAGCTCTCTCCTCTCTTCCACCCTAACTCAGTGTGAAGAGGAATAATGTAGCTTTCTGGGAACTTCGACATGCCCTAAAAAAGGAGCTGGACCTTCTCTTTGGAGGAGCCATTGATTTTTCCCACTGAACCTGCTTTTCTTGACCTGGTAAATCCACACCAGAGGTTTGCTCTCTAACTTAATCCAGCTGAACTTTTGTGAATGTTTATGACAATGCCTTGAACAAGGCACAAGCAAACACTTCCTGTGGATGAGAACTCTCCAGCACTTGCATCCTCAGTTGAAAATCAGTAGGTTGAGATAGATCAAATGCAGAGCTAGAAACAGGAGCAATGTTTTAATGCTTTTCACTTCAGACAGGCAGAAGTTTCTGACACCAGAATTGATTACTAAGCTGAAACAATGAAAATCACTGCTGTTAGGTTTTATCTTAACTTTGCAGAGGTGCATTGGGATAAAAAGAAACTTAGCTCTGCTCATTGGAGGATAAGAAATGGGTCTAAGAGAGATTCCAGGCACAAACTAGTGCTGGAGGAGAAATACTGCTGTGTCTGGATTGATCTCTGATGATGGGGGGGGGGGGGGGAAATTAAGCCTTCAGTTTTAGAAGCTAGTTTTTAGAAAAGGCCCAAGGCCACCCCAGAATGGACTGTGATGAGAATGTTTGATGACAATGCTTCTGGTCAGAGACCCTTTATTTCCAATGGTCCCTTCCTGGGACAGCCATTGAAGTCCTCGTCTCCTGTTGTATGTATCTTTCTTCATGGCCATTTCTTCCACCTCACAGAGATGCAGAGAGACTTCTGTCAGCTACACAGACTCATTCCCAATTAGGACAGCTCTCTGAGTTCATCCCAAATTTCCTCCAACGGTTGTGTCAGAATTCCATCCAAATTAAGAAATGAACATCTGCTTTCTTCCCGAATCTTCACACCTCTGTGGCCAAGTCATCTTTGGACACTAAATATCAAGACCACTTTTTACTGGTGTGTTATCACCTATGAATAGTCCTGGCTGGTTCCTTGGGGTGAGTGGGCTGTACTGCACTAGCTCCCAGTTACTATACCAAGTGTCTCCAGGGAGCACCTTTTCAACCAGCTCTCTGTGATTCCCAAGGCACCCTGGAACAATAATATCTTTAACAGATTGGTATTTCTTTCCTTAAGACTTTAAGACTCAGCTCCACACCCCCAGCAAGTGTGTGACTGAGAAGTACTAGAATCACGCAGCATTTTGGACTGGGTCTTGAAAAAGAAGAAGATTTATTACTTCTAGCTGCAGTTCTCTAAGCTGTAGTATCCTACATCAACTGCACAGTTGATACCTATTTTCCTTCCTTCCTCCTTCTCTAACTCTCATTTTTTGGTACCTCTGTTGTTAAGCCTCACTGCAGTACGCTATTTTGTGATTATGTACACAACAGGAGGGAAGGTAGAGCATGTGTGCCCCCTTTGGGTATTGCTTCAGTAAAAGCAAGTCTGGCTCAAGTGTTTGCTGAGCAAACCTCCACACTGTAAATGTATATATCTGCAAAAACACATACCTAGGAACCACAGCCACTGGAAAGTAACCTTGCTTTCCTTGTCTTGGCTGCATAATGCTCCCCTCTGCTTGCACAAAACTGACAGGCAAACCATAGCCAGCTCATGTGTGGAAGGACAAACAGGATTTCTTGACGGCTGTAAGAGAAGGTGACCAGTAAAGCAAATAATAACAGCCCAGCAAAAAGGCAAGCATACCAAAATGCAAGACTGGTCATTATAGCCCCCAGGTAGGACTAAGATGCCTGTGCTACAGAGTAACACAAGGAATAGCTAGAAATAAGCAGCTTTTGCCTTAGTATGCTTGTGTCTACACTAAGACAAAACGTAGCAAATGGGTGAAATGCACAGGGTATTTTGACAGAAATGTATTTCTCTCTCAGGCCAGAACCACAGAATAATCAGGATAAAAATAATGAAATTGAATACAGTTGTGCTGCCTAGTGACATGTGGATGAAATAACACAGCCATCCTGTCTGCCAAGCTGAAGTTCAGTTGCCAAGTCCTTGAGCTTTACCATGAGAAATGCTCCTTCCCCTAACCTCAGCGGCCCATCCATGTAATTTGCAGTTATCCCCTGAATTAAGATCTTGGTGATGGAAACAACAGTGGTTTCTGCATGTTAGTAAGAGACTACCTTCCTGTGCATTCCAGTTGGCTTTCTATTCTCTGATTTAATAAGTTAGCTAGTATAGGAATCTGACACTTGGGAGGGCAAAAAGCAGCACCTCCCATGAAGACACTGGTCCCTCCAACTTCTGTAACTCCCTTTCACTGTTGACTGTGCACTGGTTTCATGGATCAATTTCAGGAATCAGTAAGAAGTTTCTAAACCTTTACTTTTGGTGGATCACTACTGGGGTGCTTCAGAGCCAAAGTGAAAGCCAATGTCAGCAGGGCAGGCTTCTCCCTGCAAGTGGGGAATGCCGGGGGGGAAATGGAGGACCTGAAAAGGCTGAAGATGGGGTTGTGCACTGATGTGACCTGAGCACCTTCAGCTGCACAAGGACCTATTGCATGGAAAAGCATTAATTTCTGTTACTAAGAGCCTCTTGGAGCTCCAGCTGGGCCCAGCCACAGCTAAAGATAGCAGGGTTACCATGTGGGCCAGCCTGGGCATGAATCATAAGACAGAATCAAGCAGGTTGGAAAAGACCTGTAAGATCATCGAGTCCAACCTTTACCCCAGGACTGCTAAGGTCACCACTAAACCATGTCACTGAGGGCTTCACCTACACGGTCTGTGAACACTTCCAGGGATGGTGATTCCACCACTGCCTTGTTCCAATGCCTGACCACCCTCTCGGTGAAGAAACCTTCCCTAATACCCAACCTAAACGGGATCGCCTCAGGGATGCCAACAGCCACCCGCCTGTCCTCAATGGCCGCGCAGGCCCCACCCCGCTGCCCCTCCCGCTGAGGCCCGGCCCCGCCGCTCCCCTCCCCTCCTTCCCGGTTCCCTCGGCGCTGGGTGATGACCTCACGCGGCTCCATCTCCGCCCGTTCCGTTTTCCTCCGGTGCTGCAGGCGGGGTCTCGTGTCAGACACGTCACTCGGGGCGCGCCGCGGCCTCTTGCACGTGTCTCTGCGCACCGCACCGCACCGCACCGCACCGCACCGCACCGCACCGCACCCCGCACCGCCATGAGCTGCCCGGTGACGTGCGCCGCCTGGGTGCGCTGCGGCGTTGCCAAGGAGACGCCGGAAAAGGTGAGGCCGGGGCTGGGCTGAGGGACCCCCGCTCGCTGTCGCCCCCCGCCATTGCCCTCACGCCTCTGTGTGTCTGCCCCGCAGGTGCAGCTCAGCCAGGAGGAGCTGAACGACCTTATCGGGGAGGCCCAGGACAGGATGAGGTGAGCCGGGGCAGCGGGCGCGCCCGTCTACCGGGACCGGTTGGAGCCTGCCGCGTCTCGTCCCCACTGACGGAGCAGGGAAAGGGAAGGGAGGAGGGGGGGCGGCGGCACAAAGCTGTCACACCTTAGGGTTTTGTACATAACAGAATGGTTTGGGTTGGAAAGGACCTTAAGATGATCTAGTTCTAATTCCTCTGTCATGGGCAGGGACAACTCACACTAGACCAGGTTTCTCAAGGCTCTGTCCAGCCTGGCCTTGAACACCACCAGGGATGGAGCATTCACAACTTCCCTGGGCAATCCATTCCAGTGCCCCACCACCCTCACAGTAAAGAACTTCCTCCTTATATCCAGTCTAAACTTCCCCTGTTTAAGTTTGAACCCGTTACCCCTTGTCCTGTCACTACAGTCTCTGATGAAGCGTTCCTCTCTGTCATCCTTGTAGGCCCCCTTCAGATACTGGAAGGCTGCTATGAGGTCTCCACGCAGCCTTCTCTTCTCCAGGCTGAACAGCCCCAACTTTCTCAGCCTATCTTCATACAGGAGGTGCTTCAGCCCCCTGATCATTCTCGTATCCCTCCTCTGGACTTGTTCCAACAGTTCCATGTCCTTTTTATGTTGAGGACACCAGAACTGCACACAATACTCCAAGTGAGGTCCCACAAGAGCAGAGTAAAGGGGCAGGATCACCTCTTTCAACCTGCTGGTCACGCTGCTTTTGATGCAGCCCAGGATACGGTTGGCTTTCTGGGCTGCAAGCGCACACTGAAGCCGGCTCATGTTCATTTTCTCATTGACCAGCACCCCCAAGTCCTTCTCCGCAGGGCTGCTCTGAATCTCTTCTCTGCCCAGCCTGTAGCTGTGCCTGGGATTGCTCTGACCCAGGTGTAGGACCTTGCACTTGGCATGGTTAAACTTCATGAGGTTGGCATCAGCCCACCTCACAAGCGTGTCAAGGTCCCTCTGGATGGCATTCCTTCCCTCCAGCGTATCAACCGAACCACACAGCTTGGTGTCATCGGTAAACTTGCTGAGGTCGCACTCAATCCCACTGTCCATGTCAGCGACGAAGATGTTGAACAAGACCAGTCCCAACACCAATCCCTGAGGGACACCACTCGTTACTGATCTCTAGCTGGACATTGAGCCATTGACCACAACTCTGTGTGTGGCAAATGAGAATTGTCTTTACTCATTGCTGCTTGGGAATCCTGAGGGCAGAAGGACAGAAGTACAGTGTATTCGGCAGGGATGAATTCCTCTGGATCACGTTCCATTGAAACATCTCAGATGCCTATTAGGCCCTCAATTAATCTTTAATGCACACTTCCTTTTGCTGAATTCCTTGCATGTGGAATTGTTCCACCTAAGTGCCAAGTTATTCAGATGTTGCATAGTTTACCCCATAAGAAATAACCCACAATATGTCCCTACCTAATGAATTTTATGTTGTTTTTTCTTCTAAGGTAAGTATGGGAAATATGAGCAAATAAGGTCTTGAAAATCTTGAAGAAATGCAAGAGTCATCACTCATGACCGGGCCTGTGAGTATGGGAGAAAAAAAGGAAGGAAGGAATTGGACACATGCAGATGCACACAAGTGAGGTTGAGAGCGTTGTATGCATAAAAAAATAAAAAGGTAAGAGAAAGGGATTTAGACACACAGATTATCTCTGACAACCAAAATGTGTGGCAGTTTGTCATGAAAACTTTCAAGGAAAGCTTTCTTTGGAAGCCTGTGTATAATGGTGCCATTTATTTTGGGAAAAGATAGGAAAGGAGTGGATGGATTTCCAAATTATTGGCATAAAGGCTACAGCAGGCAGGATTGGGTGCTGAAATCTTGTAAGCAGTCTCCTAAGCAGTTACCTGGAAGAATTCTAAATGCCTGCCTTAGTTTCTCAGGGATGTGTATCTTTCAACAGGGATGCTGCTGATGGTAGCGATGAAGGCCAGATGGCATCTGATGTGAACGTAGATGTTCCTGGCAGAGCTGAGTCTTCTCATGAAAATGAAGACCCACCTGATGATGAACTAGATGAATATGATTTGGAACACTATGATGAAGAGGAATGCACAGGTAACAAAAAATGTTAATATCAGATACACAATATAAGTGAAGAACCTTTTCATGTTTTCGTTGTATTTAAGGCATTTGTATCCTAAAACTTCACAGGTCTATGTTTCAAATGCTGAAAATCCACATTTTTAGTAATCTGTTTGTCCTGGTTTTGGAAATCGTTTAGTGAGTGAAGCCCTTCAGTGTTCCTCTCCCTAATGTTTTAACCAAGAGCATGTTGGAAAGATTATCACTCCCCTTGCTGTAGTGCTGGAGCAGAGCAGCAGAAGTCCCCAAAACCAGTAAGCAATGTAGCTTACTGAGGTTCTTATGTTTGGAGCTTGGAAGTTAATTTAGCCCACTCCTTTTTTACAATATAGGTAATCCAGGTATTGGTACAAGAGTTTCTAAATTCACCTGTCATTGAAACGTGTTAAAGATGTTCTGAAATTCCCACCTAGGTGAGCTAAAACTTGGAGACTCCTTGGCTACCCTAGCAGTATATGGGAATAATGATAATGATCCTTACATCACTCTAAAAACCACTGTAAGTATTATAAAAATGTTAAACATCTTAAACCATAAACTTAAAAATCAGTTAAATTTTCCATGCTGCCTCAGGGTCTGTAAGTGCTTGCAGTCCTTTTCCAGAGGTGTGCCAGATTTTTGATCAGATGGAACTCCTTTTATAGTTGCTTTGTGCAGGCCCCTCTACATGTGCTTTTTATGTTTGAGTCAGCTGTTATGTGAAACTGGCTCATTATCTAACCACACAGTTCTGTGTGTGGTGTGGTTCGTCATTTGTCCAGTAGGACACAGAAAATTCTTGGAAGAAGTAACAAATCTCAGGCCACTAATGACCCAAATATTAAAACTTCCCAGAGTACAAGACTTTTACACCTTCTGCCAGTTTGTGGAAGAAACCAAACTAAGGTAGACTCAGGTATGGCAAGAAGAAATATGTCCCTGTGAAGCATACATGCCCAGCATACTGTGTAGTTAACTGCTTCTGCCTCTGTTAGTTTCCATCAAGTATCAGATGGGAAGCATCTTTGCAGGAGCTGGCTTTGTAAGAGCTCTGCAGGGAGTGAAGAAGTCTCTGGCTGTAGTCTAACAAGCTGTGTCAGCAGTGCTGTCCTGTTATGCAGCCTGTTTGTCTTTCTCTAGTGAACATTGGTACTGCCACGGCTAGGATATTTGGTCCTCCTCAGAAAAGATAGGGAGCAATTCCAGAGACTATCCCACATTTTAGTTCAGAAGGATAGATTGCAAGTTGCGATTGACTTAATTGACACAGATCACTTAAATTAGTTGGAAGATGAGGTTGCAGGAGAAGATTCAATGTAACATAGAGCAATCAGGAGAGACTATGGTCATCTGGGTCAGGGTGAAGGTATAGGTGAATTTTTGGGACCTCTTGTAAGCATAAAATTTTTCTGGGTGCTGTTTAAAAACCTATTTTGGAGCCTTACAAAGCTAGTAAGAGCGAAAGAAAAGAGGAGTCATAGGTTTCTGCCACAACATCTAGTTTGTGTGTCAGGGGGCTTTATCAAATGTGTGGTCTTGGACAAGGAGTTGTTAATGTGACTTCATATACTTTAACAAAGCTCAAGGAGGAAGGCATACATCTTACTTTAAAATGAGGTCACTTTCTGTGTTCATTTTGAGACACTCTATGTTTTTTCTGTGTTCCACTGACTGCTGATGATTTTTCTTGTTCCTGTGTAGCAGTAGAGGAGAGAAATGCTTTCAAAGTGATTTTTATAGTCAAAGAGGTATTTGCACAGGGCTTCAGAGAGAATATGAGCTGCATATATTCTATGTCAGAAAAGCTAACATTCTTCCAGACAGAAGGAGTGAACATCTTTTTCTTGGGCCTTTCTTGCTACACTCAGGACCATTACTTAAATTCTGAAAGAGAGTATTTTTTAGTCTTTAATGTGCATTTTATATTGTCTTTTGGTATTTACTGCTAGTACTGTTGAAGGCTAAGTATTGTGTAACATGAAATTGATTAATTCAGAAAAGTGCAGGACTTGATAGAATTGAAATATTGAAAAGATGCTTGCAGTGAATAAAATAGGAATTAAAAAGCTTGCAGCAAGTCCAAAAAGTCTTGTATGTGTTGTATATTTGAAGGATGGTACTCTGTGTAAGACTATTGACTTTTATGTACAATTCTTAGTTTTCCAGTAGCAAAAATTCCCTGAATGCCTTCCATTCCTCAGTAACAATGAAAATTAGATGAGATGTTACATCTGTTCTGGTACAGCTGAATGCCCAGTATAGCTGTAGGCAGCACTTTTTGTGAGATATTTTCCATAAAGTAGACAATGCTTCAGTGCTCTTGGAATTGCTTCTTGGATGTGAGGAGCAGTTACAGTATGCTTATTGTGTAAAATGATGTTACACTATATAGATGCTCACGGCATGAGAGCACAAGGGAAATAAGCTGCATGTCTGGCCTCCTGGCAGTGATTTTCTTTTCAGCAATGGGCTGCATCAGGGTAGCCTCAAAATATGGTTTCATATTTGATAATTAAACATCTCTCTAAATCTACCTAGGTCCACATAAACAGTCCTTCAGTCTCTATAATAACTATCCAATTCCCCATGACTGAGTCTGGTTCCTGCCTTTCTTTGTTTACCACTGTAGGATGGCTTTAGGCAGGTGGGCAGCAGGGTGTTGGGTTTTTGAGTGTTTTCAGTTGCAGTTAAAAATTATTATGGATTCATGTGTAGTTTTATGCATTTATGTGCTCTGTTTAATATCCACTGATCTCCTTTTTGCTGTTCAGGATCAGTATGAAGAAGAAGACTTCTTGATTAAGCCCACTGACAATCTTGTCCTTTGTGGCAGAGTTGATAAAGACTACTGTAGTTTGGAGGTCCATGGTAAGTAACATAGGATTTGTTCTTTACAGTGAACTTAGGGAGTGTGTCTCGCCTAGCCTGTGCCATATGGCTCTGTAGAAGGGGGAGAGGGTTGGTTTTTGGAAGGTTCTTTTTCTCCTTGTCTTTCCTGTGTCATGGTGCTTTAGCCACTTTCTGGAACTTGAGTGTTTCATGTGGTGGTATTCTTATTTAGAGGGTAAAGTGTTTTTTCAGCTATATAGCATTTGCTTTTCTTACTTCATTTCTAATGGCACTTAGAAAATACTATGGCATTTTTATTCTCTGAACATATGATCTTTCTTCTAAATCATGCGAGCTTCCTCTACTGGCTTCATGCTAGGAGCAGAAGAATCAACACCTCTATCATCGTAGTTTTAGAAGAGATGATCCTTAATGAGGTCTGAATACCACTTGTTCTAGGGATGGTGTTTACAAATTTTATTAACTGTGTAATTTTCCCAGTATACACTTATAAAACAATAGCACAGGTTTCTGCTGTTTATAACGTAGGGTGGTCCTGTCTTAGTTAACTGCTAAGACTGCTTAGTTAACTGAAGACTTCAGTTACTATCTACATCTGCCACGTGCACTTAAAAATGGCACAGTGATTTTGTGTATGTGATGATACCATGTTATTAAAATAATTAATGGGTTTCTCTGCTATCCAGTTAGTAAATTCTTTTATTATAAGAAAAAAAATAGCTGGCCAAAGGGAATGCTGTATTTAGTATATGGTTGCTTTAGCAAAAGTCCTCCTGCAGCTCAGTCAAAACCTGCTAAAGGTAACTTCTGACTTCTTCAGCTTTCTCTAATTTGCAAACTGTTTGTCTTTTATCTTCATTTCCCCTTTGATTTCCTCTCAAATTGTTTCTGATTGTATCCTGATGTAGAGAGGGTTGGATATGGAACATCAATTTTGAAGTAGTAGAAACAAAGTAGTGTAGTATGCTCAGAGTCAAGTGTCTAAGCTTTGTTGAACTTGTCACTTCTTTGTCTAAAGTATGCGTGAGAATGTTTATTTGTTTTGTGTAATTCACAGGCCATAACATTAAGTAGGCATAATATTAGTAGTTGGAGGCACTGGCCTCTGCGCTAAACTCTGAATGTACTGAGTTTGTACTGGAATGTAAATTTACATTCTAGATCTCCTTGACAATTTAGCTTTTGCTACATCTCCCTTTTGCAGAAGTGAACTGTTCATAGTTGCTTACTTTTCTTCTTCACTGATGTCTTGTATGTCTTTAATTCTTTTTCAGTTTATAATCATGAAGAGACCTCATTTTATGTACATCATGATATTATCTTGCCTGCTTACCCTCTAAGTCTGGAGTGGCTGAATTTTGATCCTAATCCTGATGAATCAGTAGGTAAATTACAAAGGATATTGTAAATGTCCATTTTTTTGTTTGTTTTGGCGATACAATCATCTTAGTGATGCTGCCATAACAAGTGATTTTGCTGTAACACTGGCTTTATTACAGATAATTAAGTTATTGCCAGTTAGACCAAAGCAAGCTCTTCTCTAATTTGCTTTATTTTCCATTTGCAAATGAAAAGTTGCTTTTGTTCAAACTCATTATGGCAAATCCAGTTGATTAACTGTAAAACACAGCAAAATTTTTATGTATTTATGTATTCAGTAACTTTTTTCCTGTGTTTTACAGATTTTTTTTTCCAATAGTACAGGGAATGTGGGATTTTGTTTGTTTTTTCATCAAAAAATAAACCAAAACACGTGGAACTGTATACAGCTGCTTTGGGCAGTTACTTGTACTGAAGGAGGAGAGCAAGTAATCTTTAATCTTTTTTTCTGGCAACATCTGCTGTCAGTTGATTTTTTTTAAAATTGCTCCTAGTCAGTTATAAACATCAAATATGTTCAAATGGAAAATTCTGGCACATAAGTTTTACTTAATCAAAGAAAGAAACAACAGTTGGATTGCCAAATATGCTGTTTTGTAATTTTAAATAAATGTGGTCACATTTGTGTTTCTGCTTGTAGGAAATTATGTTGCAGTGGGTAACATGACCCCAGTTATTGATGTTTGGGACCTTGATGTAGTAGAATCCTTAGAACCAGTCTTTTCTCTTGGAGACAAGAAAGAGAAAAAGAAGAAAAAGAAAGGGAAGAAAGTAAGTATTGCAAAATTGTTTATCTAAATCGTAGATAATTGGATTTAATTCAGTCTGTCATGTTGAAAGATGGTATTTAGACAGGTTACGGAAGATAATGTCATGGTCATCTGCAGTAGGTTAAAATTGGTATTTTCCTGTGACTCGGAGTTGAAAAGGCATTGAGGAATAAAGGACAAAGTTTACACTACTAAAATACATTTACTCAGGATTCACCTTGTTAGCCTTATCTGTCTAAAATTTAAGCGTATTTCAAGATAGTCATAGAAATTGAGGTAAAGGCATAGAGGCACAACCTGCGAATGGCTCAGTTTCTCTTAGTGGACTACCGAGAAAACTTTAACCACCAAAGAGGAAGAGTGAGGTTGAGACTGGATGCTAAGTTATCTGAGATGAATGTGATCCTAATTGTATGCCAGAATGTGCTATGATTTATCCTAATCCTTTGGTATATGAAACAAGTCTGGAAGTTGACATCACTTAAATTTGCTAGATTTTGTGTGTAGTAGATGCTTCAGGAAGTGCTTAAAGACTCCCTAGAGTAAATAGGGAATGTGGATGCTAAATATATAGCTAATCTTGGCTTCCCAAACGAAGGAGCACTACAGTGTTAGCCAGATAAACAACCTTTTTATTAAAGAACTTTACTGTCATTGTGTAGGGGGTTGACTACTGCAGCTCTCAGACCTAGTAATTTTAAATATAATAGAGAAAATATCCTTGGAAGGGAAATTTGTTCTATGAAACTTGCTTCTGAAAATCCCTGGGTTATCAGAATTGCTGTTGAAGATACCATTCATAAATGTTACCTCAGATTGAAATGCTAATTGTTCTCTGCATGGATAATTAAAACCTGGAATTGAGAGGAATGGGGTGAGTTATGGGTGGTTTCCTGTTGCTGTCTTTGAAGCTTAACCATTTTAAGTTAGAAATTGTAGGAGCTGGCAGTTACAAGGACTTCAAGCTCAGTGAATTTGAAGGAGTGAGGGAACTGCCAGGAGTGTTTAGAGAGAAGCTGAAGAAGCTGCACATTAGCTGGAGACAATGAAATTCTGCTACTAGCCTGAAGGGAGTAACCAGTTCTATAAGTGCAGCAGCTGTGAATGAAGCGATCTGACATCTGGGATAGGAAGTGAGGTGCAGGTACTGAAGAAACACTTCTACCAAAAACCTTGTTGCAGCAAGTGAGAGTAATATAAAATATGAAGTTGCTTGTGAAGGTATTAAGAATTTCATACTAACGCGTTATAACGCTTGACTTCCATTGGAGCTGTAATTTTCAAAAGTCTTCTTTGTTTTGTATCTACATATAGAGCTTATCTTCAGGGGAGACAGTGAAAGGACATACTGATGCTGTGCTTGATCTTTCATGGAATAAACAAAGCAGGTAAAAGAATACTTGAATAACAATGGATGTTTACAAATTTGTGTGTTTAATTTGGCATGCATTTTTCACAGAAATCCAAAATATAATGTAGTATAACATTGAACTTGAAGGCAGTGCTGGAATGAATCATTTCTCAAAACTACACCTCCCTCCCCCCTTTTTTAACTGGAAGTCTTGATTATATATTTTTTAATTATTATTATTTTTAACCTACATATTGCTGCAAATCACTGTGTGTTTGCAGGTTGTGCAGGTGAGTGCAGGGCTAAGGTGGGTTTAAGCCATTTGTTAAATGAGCTCCGTTTAGGTCAGATGCACAGACAGAGAACCAGAGGGCTGCTGTCATCTGTGCTGATCTGCCAGTGACCTAAAACACCATTTCAGCAGATAGTAGTAGATTTGTAGAAGGAAAGTCCTTGCTATTCTCTTGGGGTTTTTTAACTGTGGCTTTTGCACCTGAACTGTGAGCAGAAAAGTTAGTGTAAAAGCCCTAATAGCACAGTTACAAAAATGCCTCTGACCTTTGGGTTATCCTAGACAGAGACAATTCTTTGTTGCCTGAACAAACTAGCAATCAAGTGCTCCTACTGAAGCAACACAAAGCTGGCCCATCTTGGGTGAGGGGTCAGGGGCAATGTGATGACTGAAGTACAGATGCTGCTGGTTTTATCAATTAAGGTAGTTGTTAACAGTTCAGCTGTCAGAGGATCCTCAGCGTGGGCCCTGAAATAACTTCTTCCTTATATCTAACCTGAACTTCCCTGTTTTAGTTTGAACCATTGCCCCTTGTCCTATTGCTACAGTCCCTGATGAAGAGTCCCTCTCTGGCATCCTTGTAGGCCTCCTTCAGATACTAGAAGGCTGCTGTGAGGTCTCCATGCAGCCTTCTCTTCTCCAGGCTGTAGTCAACTCTGTATAGTCCTAATGAGCAGGTGTAAGCCTTCATTTGTAATGACTTTTACCTAGATACTGAAGGAGGAAACATCCATATAGACATGCAATAAATGTACATAGATTGCACTCTTCATTTACAGCGCTTTGCTGTTGTTCCTAAATTATACACGTGTGCACAGTGTGGTAGTGATCTTTCTGTCTGTCTTACCAAAGAGTAGTTTTCACGTACATATCACATCTGGTGATAATATAGAGACAAGTCATAAAAATTAGAGCTACAATAATTAAGTGTTTGGAATGCATAATTCTGCAATGGGCTGAGTTACAGACTTATTGATACTGGTAGATTTTTCAGGAAATTAAACCAGCCTTGAAGTAGGAAGCTTATGGAGCAGCTTGTATTTAACTGTTTTGTTTGTTTTTTAAGCAAGATATACTGTGACAGCTCTCTATAAATAACTTTCTGCTTGTATGTCATAATGATGCTACTGTAAAATGTTTTCAGAGCCTTCACTATGCATTTTCTTAACTTTCCCTCACAACATTTGGAAGGACAGTGTTTCCAGGAGGATGTTAGCTCTTTCAGTCCATAATGCTTCATTAATACACAAAAAATAAGGTGATGGGGGAGCAGTTTTGATCAGAAACAACATGTTGAGGTAATAAATCAGGTTTTAAGAGCAATAGTAGTGGTACTGTGTATTTGACAGGCCTTTGGGAATGTTTTGAGGGGTTTTTTTCTGATTAAAATTCTAAATTGCATGTTTATTGCTCTTAACACAGTTGGCCAAATTTAAGTTGAAATAGGGGGTCTGTAAACTAACTAGTATGTTAGTGGTTCCTTTTAGCATTCTCAGAAGGGTGTACAGTGTTAAGTCTTCAGCAGGTAGATAAACACTCAGATATTAGAGATATAGAGAGCAAAGTTATTTTAAAACCAGGTTTGTCTGGCACTTGGCTGTATGTGTATGTAAGCAGGGCTAAGTTGCTAAGGAAATGAAATGCTTAAAAGCCTTTCTCACTTCATTTTGTTCAAGAAATCTTCCAATGAATGATATTTTAAGTGATGTCAGGGGGGAAATACAAGCAAAACTGTCAATGTTGTTACTGTAAGTGTTAAATAATGTAATATAGTCTGTTTGTAGTCTTGTAACTTAGAATTACCTTCAGGGAATTACCTGTCAGGCTTGAGAAATACAGTCTATAGTCCAGAGCATACTTGATCTCAGAATCGGGCTCTGTATGTATTTTGGACTTTTGACCATTTGTTTGTATCTGCATAAAAATACTTAAAACTTGTTTCTTGATCTGTTATCAGGAATGTTTTAGCAAGTGCATCTGCTGACAGTACTGTGATTTTGTGGGATATGTCTGTGGGTAAGCCAGCAGCCAACTTGATGCTACACACAGACAAGGTAAGTAACAACTGCTGTGTTTCTTCCACTGTAAAATACAGAGAAAAAATAAATGCAGTTTTTCATTAACTGCTTGGCGGTGAACCCTTACAACAACAATTCTGTAGTTGTTTAAGAACTGTGCAGAATTCTTTAAAGTTCTGAATTAGTTGCCTTTGCAAACAATATTGTATTTTCTTTTTAAAATGCTGTTTGACTTGTCCTTTAGGTAGTTTGTGAGGATTTGCAGCAGTTTTCTAAAATGCCATTTTTGTGAAAGCCCTAATGGTGGGAATCTGATAGTGCTGGAATAAGCTCCAAAAAATAGGTCTCTGAGAATAAGTCAAACTGTAATTCTCTCTGAGGAAACAGTGAGTGTCAGTTCTAGGTAAGAAAGGTTTAAAATAGATGATACTAAAATACCACAGTGGTGGGTACTTCAGAAATGAATTAATCTCATAGTAATTAAAATGTGGAAGTTAGTTATTAATAGCTGTAACCTTATTCTGCTGTTAACAAAGTCACTGCTCTTGGCCAACTCCTGATTTTCATTTTTTGCTAACATCTGTGTTTTTTCTATAACTGGAAGCAGCTCTTTTTTTATCTCCTCTGATTTTGGGGTCTTTTGGGGTTTTGTTTGGTTGGGGTTTTTTTTTTTTTTTTTTTTGATATCCAGGGCAGAAGGGGGCCATGTGGTTCTCTTCAGTTCATTTATATATATATACAAATATATATATATAAAACAAGGAAAGTACCTTGTTTCCACTGGGTGGGGGTGTTTCAGTAAAAACAATGTGCCTCTCTTGCACTGTTTAATGAAAAATCTGAGTATCAACAAGCTTAATAGGATCGACTTGGTGGGGGGAATGTGCTGTCTTTGGGAAGGAGGGCTTGTGCTCTTGTTTGTTCAAAGATAGATGATGTATGTGCGCATTGTATCTCAGTGCTTATTTTTAAATACAGAATTTTCTGTTATCTAGGTCCAGACATTGCAATTTCATCCATTTGAAACTCAGACCCTTATTTCTGGATCTTATGATAAGTATGTCAGGGTCAAATGTCATTTTCATTGTCAATTCTGGATCTTATGATAAGTATGTCAGTATGTCATTTTCAAATGTTACACATAGGGAGGGTATTAGTATTAAATAAAGGCTGTTAAGTTGCTTCATGTTTTCTTTTTCGTTTGCTTCTAACTGTGCCAAATTTGAATAATGCTATTTATTTTTTTCCAGCAAGCTAGCCAGGTTTGTATGTGGCCAAAATGTAGTTTTCCTTACCTCTTTCTCAGGACTAGCCAAATGCTTTAACCATCTGGACCAGCATTTTCTGTGCCAGGTGTCTATGCCAAACTGAATTTATTCCTTAATTTGGCCTTATGGCATTTTCTGCATTGAGAACGTGACACTGCGTATTCCTGTGAAAACCTGTGCAGGTCTTGCCAAGCTGTAGGACCAGGGTGGGTGCATGAGGGACCTTAACATCCCAGTCTGCTGCCTACAGCCTCTATTAACAGGAGTGCCATAGCCAATGTTTAATGGGCTACCTCCGGTGACAGCAGGCTGGAGATGCTGTGAAATGGGTTGTGTCTGCACGCTTTGACTAATGCTGTAACTGCCAGTAGCTTATAAGCCCTGCCAGCCCAAAAACTTCCCCTCTGTTCTCCCATCCCATAGGGGTAACTGTTTAATTTTGTTCTGTAACTGTGATTTTCTTATATTGACTTTTTTTTTTTTATTCTTTTAAGACTTTGTCCTTGTGGTATTTATAGACTTGTCAATCTTTAGCCAGGCCTTTATATTCTCTAGCTTCTATTGTGCTCTTGCTCCATCTGCTTAAGTGAAAGTAATGGAGAAAATCCTTTTATTGCTGTTAGGAGCTGCTCTGCCTGCTTTCCTCCCTCTTGACTTCCTTCAGTAGAAAGAAAAAAGTCCACACCCTGAGGCAAGCTACTCAATGCTATTTTAGCTAGCCCTTTGATACCATGGACACCTGTAAACCAGTTTACTGTCTATACACCACCTTTGTGGATTTTTTCCTATGAAGCCTTGCAGAAACACAGGCTATTCAGTGAATATTGGCAGATGCATTCATAACCTAAAAGTCAGACCATTAAAAATTGCATGTATGCTAAAACTGTTGTAAAATGCCAGGTAATAGAGATCTAGATCACATCTCTTTGGTTTTAATTATAGGATAAAGTAGGAGCTAGTTACACTGTGGATGCTGGTTGTGATGAGATGCTGCAAGAGTGACATCATCACACCTCTCTTGCATTCATACCCAGGAAATTTTTGGGTTGGGACACATTCTGCAACCACTGGTCTAAGCACATACCTGTAAAGAATCCCAGGGGACCCATTAACTTCCATCCACTATTTCTCCTTGTTGGAGCAGCGTTTCCCTAATCCCTTGTAAAGATTAATTTTGTATTTCTTAAAGCATATTTTTAAATGCTTGTTTATATATATGTATTCCACAAATGTGGAAGGTGTCCTTGCCCATGGCAGGGGGGTTGGAACTAGATGAGCTTTAAGGTTCCTTCCAACCCAAACCGTTCTGTGATTGAATCCTGAAATGGGTTTCCTAATTAGTGCAGTATTTTTGAAAGTCATTGCTTGACTTTACTGAAGTGTGTTCATAATTCAGTGATATATTTGCATAATTATGGTCTCCTGTGCGGTAAGTATCTTACGCATTGAGTAAATTCAAGCTCTATTTGCTTAGTTTCAGTAGAACAGCTGTTTGTAACCGAGATGAAACTTGGAAGGCATATGGGAAAGTCTTGTGATTTATCTGAGAAGTTTTCATCTATTGTTGAGTTGGAAGACAGTGAAGTTGTTTCTGTTTTAACTTTTGAATTGTAGTTTATGTGGGCCTTCTATAAATGCCAGTGGTAAAACAAAATTTGTAAGGTGTTCTACCCTGATTTTTCTTACTTATTTATTTCCTCTCCCTTTTTCGCATAGATCAGCTGTGCTGTATGACTGCAGAAACCCACAAGATAACCATCGCGTGTGGCGGTTTAGTGGTCAGGTTGAAAGAGTAACTTGGAATCATTTTTCACCTTGTAACTTCTTAGTGAGTACATGCTCTTCTATTCTCAGTTTGTAGACTGTTGCCATTTCATTTAGCCTGTATTTTTGTGTTCATAATGTTTCTGAATCAAATAATGGAGGTGATGGAGTTGGACTGTTGTTGTTCCTTATTTTTAAGATACAGTGCATGTGAGGATGGTTTTGGGTAATTTTTTCAACAAGTATATGAAGACCAGCTCTTTACCCAATACCTTTATTATGACAGTAGAAAAGCAATTGATACTGATGCTTTTTGACTCCAGAGGTGGCATCTTTGCCATGTTGTTATAGTGTTCAGTGGCTGGGATATATTTTCCCTTGCATAGTTGCTCTTGTGTTTCATGTAATGAAGCAATTGCAGCTGAGAAGTAGATAGAACTAAGATCCTGAATATTGTTTCAAATCAGCACTAGAGGGCATTGTCCACCCTGCTGGGGTACCTTGGGTTTGTGAAGATTTTTATAATACAAGTTTTAAACAGAAATTAAAAAGAAATAATTTTTATTACCTCAGTGGTTGCCTGGTTCTCTGTTGCTTTATATATACAGCCAAAAAAAAGCAGTTGCTCAGTTCTCTTGGGTTTGTGATACAGATCTCTCAGTGTTGTGTATGGCCATTATGTACTCAGTGGATAGCTCCAGAAGCTTTCAACTGCCAATTAGGAGACTAATGGCTCTGTATTTCATTGCCTACCATGACAGCCAAGTGTAGTAGTGTATCTTCAAAATAACAATTTGAGAAATTTGTATATGATTAAAGCTTCCATGTAAGTCAGTGCAGCATAATTTAGGTACATAGAACAGCTCAGGCACTAGCTGGATGGAGCTTTTTTTGCGGATGCAGATCCGTGTAGTATGACATGCCCTACCAAGAAGTGTAAGTCTGTCTCAAATCACAGGGGTTTACTAGAGGGTAGGTGTTACTTTGTAGGAGCTTTTTTCCAAATGAGTGACTATGGCTGTTTTCACAATCTTGTGTTTTCCTTAGGTGAGCACAGAGGATGGCTTTGTGTACTGTCTGGATGCTCGTTCTGATAAGCCACTGTTTACTCTGAAAGCCCATGATGAAGAGGTGTCAGGTAAACACTCTGTGTGTGTGTGTTGTTTGTCCCCAATGGCGAGGCACATCTGGAAGATGTCTTTAATGGCTATGACTGAGGTGGTAGCAATTCGTTGCTTAACAAGTTGAGGTTGTGCAAACTCACTATGGGTAACTAGCGAGTGAAACAAATCTGCTGAGAAGCTGTTGTAAGCAAAATATTTTAACAACAGTGAACTTTTCTCAGTGAATGTCATGAATAAACATGTCAAAGCAGATCTGTTCACTTCTGTTCACTTGGGACACATTCCCTGTGGGGTTTTTGGTGAGGAGGAACAAAAGCTATGGAATCTGGTCCAGGATCATGAACTATAATGTTTACCTCCTCTATCAGTAATTATTTTATACTGACATTCAAGCTGGAGATGATTCACGTATAGCACTTGGGAAAGTTTATACACTGCCTCCTTCAGGCTACTTTAATTACTTGATCAGTGTAAGAGCCCCTAAGAAGCAACTTGAAACACCTGATTAGGTGTCTGAAATGAAATTTATATATATGCCCCATTATCTTGGATAGCAAAAGAGTCCTTGGCAAATGAAACCAGAGAAGCCAGATTATGTGAAGAAAGAAGCATAACAATAGCATCCTTGCAGTGCTACAGTTGTTGGAGTGGGAAACAGAATAGGGTGGCATAGCATCAGTTTGTTGTCACTATGGGAAGCAGTGGCAGCATGAAACTTTATCACTTTGCTCCTTTTTGCTGGAACAATTTAGTGTGAGGAGAATATTTGATTTCTTGTGACTTTGCTTCAAAAAGGGTCCTCATCTCTGTGAAGTAGTGATTATTTGGTGCTATCACACTGCTGTATTCTTAATCTTCCAGGGCTACAGCTAAGCAGTCAGATCAAAGGATGCCTTGTGACATCATCTGCTGACAAACATGTGAAAATCTGGGATATCCTGGGGGACAGACCAAGTTTAGTCCATTCCAGAGATATGAAAATGGTAAGAGTAATATTATTTTAATTCCAGGAAGGTTTATATCTGCTTATTCATTTTTTGTCTAGCTTGAATCATGTTTTACCTAACATACTAACTTTTAGGGGAAAAAAGTCACACCTGTATATTCTGGGTAAATCACTGTCATTACAGTGCAGTATTCAATTCATCATCTAATTGGCAGACCTGAATATCAGATGCAGCATTCTGAGTAGAATTGTAGGTGCTCCAATATGTAACTTCCAGGTTCAAGACAAAGATGTAATTCACTGTTTGTAACTAGCAGCTCCTGAGTTTAATTTTGTGTCTTCACAAAATCAGTTTCAGGAAACTGTTGTGGTTTAAGCCCAGCTGGCAACCCAGAACCATGCAGCCACTTGCTCCCTCCCCTGCTTCTTCCCCTCAGCCCTGGGGTTGGGGAGGAGAATCGAAAGAATGTAACTCCTGTGGGTTGAGATACGAGCAGCCCAGTAACTAAGGTATAACACAGACCACTACTGCTACCACCAATAATGATAAGGGAAATAACAAGGGAAGAGAATACAACCGCTCACCACCTGCCGACCGATACCCAGCCCGACCCAAGCAGTGATCTCACCCTTCCAAGTAACTGCCTCCAGTTTATAGAGTGGGCATGATGTGCTGTGGTATGGAATACCTCTTTGGTTAGTTTGGGTCAGGTGTCCTGTCTCTGCTTCCTCCCAGCTTCCCCTCCTCCCTGGCAGAGCATGGGACTCACAAAGTCCTTGGTCAGAGTAAACATTACTGAGCAACAACTGAAAACATCAGTGTTATCAGCGCTGTTCCCAGGCTGAAAGTCAAAAACACAGCACTGCACCAGCTACTGAGAAGGAGAAAAATGACTGCTACTGCTGAACCCAGGACAGAAACTTAGAGAGATTATATTTCTTAAAACTTGCTTGGGATTTTCAGATGACAGATTCATTTTAGGATGGTGAGTTTTAAAGTCTCCTCTTGTTTTTTTCCCTTCCATCTTCCCAGGGTGTTCTCTTCTGCGCGGCCTGCTGTCCTGACCTCCCATTTGTTTTTGCCTTTGGAGGAGAGCGAGAAGGGCTGCGTGTTTGGGATATTAGCAAGATTTCTGCGGGTAAGATTCTCATTTCTTTGGATCTTGTGATGCTCCCCTTGCCCCCAGGGTGTATTTGTATATTCAGTGATGTACTGTGGCTCTGAGAGTAACTGTAGGTTAGTATTTTTAAATGCCCCAAGGCTGCAGGTGTGTCACATTTTCAGTTTAAAATAATGGGATTTTTTTCTAACTTGGAGACCTGTGTTTGCCATATGATTTTCTTGTAGCTGAAGTGTAATACCTGATTTCTTGTAATACCAGTGGTTTACTTTGTTCTTAATGTTCCTGGTGTAATCGAGTACCACATTCTTGAGTACACGTAGGCATAAAGGCAAGGACTGGGTTTGATTGGTGGTGGTAGCTACATGTAACTAAACGGTGTGAATTTCTGGAGGAGTCTCTTAAGAGCTTGGTGGAAACCAGAGAGACTAAAACCAGAAATAAATCATTTAAACATAATGTTTTGCACTACAAAACTCATCCATTTCACAGTACAGGCACAGGAATTATGCAGAGGGAAACCTCTAGAGATGCTTTGGAGGAGAACTAACAGGACTTGTAATTTAAATATCATATGTGGGAGATTGTTCTTTAGCTTTAACTCCCTACACAAAGGAAGGGGAAAAGCTTTGCAACTGCACCAAGTTAGGATTTCCATTCCATTCCATGATGCTCACCATGCTCCAGCTGCTGTACTTCTCTTGCCTTTGGGAGAATAGCATGTACCAATCCCCATCTGTTTTGCAGTGAATGAAGTTTTTGGAAACAGAGAGAGACTTGTTCTGGTAAATGCCAACTCTGTTGCCAGCAGTAGCAGCAACAATTCGGAGACAGCAATGGAATCGTGATGGACCAAACATCAAAAATCAAAGTAATTAATGGCACTACGACTAATGTGGATTCTACAAGTCCCCCCATTTGGTGAGAGTTCGTAGAAATTACTCTGGTGTCTTGCAATCTGCAGGCTTCTTCATCTTAAAGAAACACGGTGATGGGGTCAAGCTCTAAGTCAGCAGTTCTAAGTTCCTGCCTCTGTTACTAGCTTTGAAAGATTAAATGACTTGCTTTTTGCCTGAGATTATGATCCCTGTAGCAGGAGCTACTATGTGTAAAGTTGATACATAAACTGAAACAGGCACTAGAAGAGTATTTTGCTACTACCAGAAGTTTGAATACTACAAAGAAGATAAATATCTTCTAAAGGCATAAGGAAAAATACTTCAGCCAGCAGGTGTGTAAAAAAAAAAATGAATGAAATGACAAGTGTAAATAGATAATTTATACTTGATTTGAGGCTAGATTTACAGATTTCTAATACAGATTTTAACAGTTCTATGTAACTTCTCTAAGTCTTAGCATATTTCTTGGGCAGTTAAGTTAGGAGTCCCCGAGTAGGATCTTGAAATGCCTTTATAACACCTTAGTTCACCAGTATCAAACCAGAAACATCCCGTCTCCATCCCGTCAAGATCCAGGGGTTCTTTTTTGTGGTTCCACAGCAGCTGAAGCTTATTAATGTCGCATGTGAATTGGGTTTTTCTTCAAGCTCCAAATGTTACATATATATGAAGGCAATTTGAACTGAAGTAAGGGGTTACTACTCAGAAGAGAGCAAGAGGCTGTCAGGACACAAAACAAGGATGGGGATCTCAGCTGGTCACTGGCACTGGTGAAAGCTGACCATATTGTATGCTCGTGTTCCTAATTCCTCCCAGGCATTTCTGCCTGAAATCTGAAGGCACAAAGGAACGTTTTGAATATCATGAGCCTAACTGCTGACTTTTAATCGGAGGTCAGCATGGAAAGGACCTTAAGATCATCTAGTTCCAACCCCCCTGCCATGGGAATGTGACTTAAAACACCCAAGTGCCTTACCCCAGGCCAGTGATTCTTCTGTCCTCCTGGGATGTGTTTCCCTGTCTTCATAGTGGAAGGTATCTGTGTGTTAAGGTGGTACTGCTGCAAGAAGTCCCTGTGTGTCAAAGCAGCCATAGTGTTCGGGCTTGTTGTTGATGGGATCTTACCACCACTTCCCATCCCAGCTCACTGTAACTCCTGGTGAGGTGGTGAGGCAGATCGACTGTATCAATACAAAATGCAGATGGTGAAAAGGCAGGGCTGGCAGTTTCCTTCCCATCCCTTTAAGTTAAATGGCTGCTTCTAAGTCCAGTTTAGTTGCTTCTAGTCTGGTGGCATGTACCTAGCATGGCTCTGCAGGAACCAAGAATACTTTGGATGTGTTGGGATTCCTGCTGCAGTCCAAGCAGTAGTGAAGGACGTGATGCGAACGGTAAATGAACCACCACTTTTGTGAAACTGAAGAAGGTGAAGGCATCAAAACCACCTCTGTTAAGTGCTCTCCCTCTGTTAAGTGCTCTCCACTGAAAATCTGTAAGTTTTTCAAAGCTTTCCTTTGAAATAAACGCTTTGTGTTAAGCTCTTGGAGGGTAGTTGTTTCGGTTACCTGTACCTCTGGTACTAATTTGCACTGTAGCACTAGCTTTTGCTTTTTGTTTTGGGAAGAAATTGTGTTACTGCAAGCAACACATCTTTCCCTTGACTAGATAAAATCCCTCAACCTGTCTTTCTGGAGCTTTTTATTCACATCCTGATCTCGGAGGGCAAGTAACATGCATTTATCATGGGATTCTTTGGGATCTCCCTAGGAAATACAGCGTACAGGTGATGAAAAAGTGGTGTTACTTCTCTTAGCATCACTATCAGAAATGGGATCCTTTTTCTTAAGAATGTGTAAATACTAAAAAACCCCAAAACCATTAGAAAAGAGCCACATTTTTAATTTTTTCAAGGGAAAACCACCAAGTGAAAATACATCTTAATTCCATAAATAATGTTAGCAGCAAACCCTCCCATCATTCCAGGTGGTACAAGGTTTACAGCATGAGAAGTAATATATACTGTAAACACCATCTGAGCATCTGTAAGCCTTCTCCTTACTGAGTCTGTATAGTCTTTATGTCTTCACCTGCTGCCATGTTCTTGTGAACCAGAGCAAGAAGAGGCAGTAACTGTTCTCCGAAAGCCAATGTCCAATTTTCTGTACTGGGGTAATTGCTTTGTCTGCAAATGTGATTTTTGCTGATTTCATGGGCTTTTTTTTCCTTTAACCGAAGTTTTGTTTGAGGTTTTCTTTAAGAAGGAGACCTGAGCATTGCTAAGTCTTTGCTTTGTACCAAACCACATCTTTCAGTTAAAAAGTATTAAAAAGCAGAATACCTCACATGCCACCACCATTTTTTGTTCATTTCTCTCATTGTCATGGCTTTGGCAGCTAAGGACAGTTGGCTTACAGGTCACTGCAATCACTCAACTACATTTCTTCTGGTTTGTGGCTCTTTATTCAAAGGGCTATGCAAGTTGTGTCATGTATCCCGGCACTGGATGGATTAATCTGAGTGATTTTGAAGAGGAAGTATGCACAGCGTGTGTGAAAAAGTCTGCTTGCCTCACATTTCCTTCTTAGCAACTCTTTGACTTGTATGTGCATGATCCATTCTCATTCAGTGTTCTGGCTACAGTTTAATAAGCAGTGGTAGTGTGGAGACAAAAACAGAAGGAAAAATCCTCATTCAGCGTATGCTGTTGACTGGGAAAATGAAGAAGAGGGTGTTTTTCCTCAAGTTACAATATCCGAGGAAATTTCCCTCTCGCTTTTCTTCATTTGTGTCCAGAGAGGGCATCACCAGTTGAACAGACCCCATTGTTAATCCTACAGTCTTCAGTCCTTATAGAGTCTATTAATTCCTCCTCTGAATCGTCTTCTTCTTCCTCCTCTGGGGCTGACAAGCTGGATGCAGGGCCTTTACATATTTTTAAGTGGCGAGTGAGGTGATATTTGGTTAGATAAGCCTTGGAGCATTTTTCACAGACATAGTCCCTCTTTCCTTCATGTGAATTGAGATGCTTCTTCAGATGATTTGTCCTCAGAAACAGCTTGTCACACTTGGGGCACTTGATCTGCCGTTCTCTGTAAGACATGATAACGTTAGTTACAGTCTGCTCCTGCTATAAGGCAGCTGTTCCTGTATTAAATAGCGGGGTAGGTGGTGATAGGAAGAGTGAAAAGGTCAGTCTGACTCCAAAATCTTACTTTCAATATACCTGAAGGAGGAGCAGACCAGAAATAACAGTGCTACTAGTGTAAATACTGCTCAGTTTTCTCACACAGTACACACACAACCATCTTCCCTGAGGCAAAAGTCTGGCTTTTTAGGTTAACTGCTAGCTTGGGACCAATTGTTCTTTCCCAATGACGAACTGAAAAAGAAAGAATTCTACAAGGGTTTTGTTTGTTGAGTAAGACACAGCTCTGGTTGAGCTCCATGTTTTGGCATTTGGAAGAAATGTCGCCATGGTGGAAAGGCTGGTCTCCAGCCTTCCTACCCTCTCACCCTGCATAAATGGGTGCAGGGGGGCAGGGAAAGAACAATGAAGCAAACAAAACTGCTGAGTTTTAACAACCCTCTGTCTGTAAACGCCAAGCAGAGGCTTACCAGATTGCAGCAGTCAAATTCTGAAGACGACTCTGCAAAACACCTCCCAGCAGTAGTGCTCTGGGCATAAGAACAAGCAGCCAAGCAAGACTGTCTGTCTGCCTCTCACTCATGCTAGCTGTGCTATCCTGTCTCCTAGGCAGCATGACAGAAGCAACAATCAATTCCAAGTGAGTACAACAAACAGATGCTGAAAACAAAGTAAGCAAAATGTATGGCTTTGGGTGAACAGCCTTTAAGGGAAGACCTTGTCTTGGGAGTAACAAAGCAGGATGGAAAAATCTCACAGCAGAAGGAAAGATCTGGCCTGGCAGAGAGCTGATGGGCAGGGGAAGACCTGTAGGTCTGGAGTAGGAGGACCTGTGGGTAGGGGTCTGCCCTGACCATGGACATCTCCCTGGAGGAGGAGCAGGAGACCAGGTGCATGTATGAGACCTGGGGGGAGGTAAAAGCTGGGAATGGCTGCACCCCACCCCAGGTGCAAACAGAGAGGAAGACTTCACTAACCAGTTACTCAGGATAACATTGAGGAGTTTTACAATTTTGATTTATATGATCTATGATTGGGGCCATGTTCTCAGCAGAGAACTAAATGTAAATCAACTAACCCCCTCTCTCTCCAAAATGATGAACACTCCAAAATGCCGTTTCATGGGACAACGTGCATGTCTGGAATTTACTGTCATTAAAATACTGTGAAGACCAGAATTAGGACAACTTCAGCCAGTAACAAGAAATTTGTCCATCTTCACTTCTCTGTCATTTCAGAGGATGAGCCTATACTCCATAGGCCAAACTATCTGCAAACTTGAGATTCTCTCTCAGACTGTCCAGCTTCATTATATATTGCACTGGCCAGCCCAATGCATCCTGTGGGATCACTTACTGTGTGTGAGTGAGTACATGCTGCTTGAGGTCCTGCCTCCGCATAAACAGCTTTTCACAGTAATCGCACTTGAGGTTCTTCTCTCCGGTGTGGATGACCATGTGCGATTCCAGGTGAGCCTTCTGGGTGAACGACTTGTCGCAGAGGCTACAGCGGTAATTCTTCTGCCCTAGGATTGCATATGTACACCCACAAACTGACAGTCAGTGTCCCAAGAAATACAGTAAGCAAACAAGCCTGACCACTTCCCAGAAATACATTTTACCCTGCAAAAAGCAGATTCGTTGTGAACAGGACCTGTTTCCTCCTGCAGTTCTTTTAGATTTACCATACAGTCTAGATTTAGCTATGCAAAACCCAGGCATGGAATCACAGAATGGTTTAGTCTGGAAGGGACTTTCAAACTCATTTAGGTCCAAGCACCTGCCACAGGCAGGGACACCTTCCACTAGACCAGGCTGCTCCAGGCCCCATCCAACCTGGCTGTGGAGCTGCCAAGGATGGGGCAGCAACAGCTTCTGTGGGCAACCTGTTACCATTATTGCCAGTGTCCAGTGCATCTGACTTCAGCATTCCCAAAGCTTTTCATGCCCTAGCCCATGCCCCCAAGCCAAAAGCCCCACTTGATGCTACTGTTTCAAACCACTGAGCCCTTCATGAGATGCAGTTATGCATCCTTATTGGTCCTTCTAAACACTGATTCCTCCAGTGCATGTGGTCAGCCAGCCTTTCCGATTCTTGCCTACACCATCTGTGCCTCCCTGAGGCATGTTCTGCATAACAAAACATAACCAGCAAGCTTGTAATTTTTCCAGCAAAGAGACTGAGGCAAGCACCTAAAAAGACCAGGGTTATCCAAGATGAATTCTTGAGGAAAAATAATGGTAGCCTCCCTTTTAATAGTAGCCATGGTAGCCATCTAGTTACTGTACAGTAGTAC